GCCAGCCGAGAGACATAGTCCCTCCAGCGTGTCCTGGGTCTTCCCCGGGGCCTCCTCCCGGTGGGACATGCCTGGAACACCTCCCTAGGAAGGCACCCAGGAGGCATCCAAAACAGATGCCCGAGCCACCTCAGCTGGCTCCATTTGATGTGGAGGAGCAGCGGTTCTACTCTGAGCTCCTCCTGGGTAACCGAGCTCCTCACCCTGTCTCTGAGGGTGCGCCTGGCCACCCTGCGGAGGAAGCTCATTTTGGCCGCCTGTATCCAGGATCTTGCCCTTTTGGTCATGACCCAAATGTCATGACCATTTGTGAGAGTCGGAATGTAGATCGACAAGTAAATCAAGAGCTTTGCCTTACAGCTCAGCTCCTTCTTCACCACAACGGACCGGTACATCGACCGCATTACTGCAGAAGCTGCACTGATCCGCCTGTCAATCTCCCGTTCTATCCTTCCCTCACTCGTGAACAAGACCCCAAGATACTTGAACTCCTCCACTTGAGGCAGAAACTCTCCACCAACCTGAAGGGAACAAGCCACCCTCTTCCGACTGAGAACCATGGTCTCGGACTTGGAGGTGCTGATTCTCATCCCAGCCACTTCACACTCAGTTGCAAACCCTCCCAGTGCACGCTGGAGGTCCTGTTTTGATGGAGCCAACAGGACAACATTATCTGCAAAAAGCAGAGAAGAGATCCTGTGGTCCCCAAACCGGACTCCAACTGACATCCTGGATGCGTCTAGAAATTCTGTCCATAAAAATAATGAACAGGACTGGTGACAAAGGGCAGCCCTGCCGGAGTGCAACATGCACCGGGAAAAAGTCTGACCTACTGCCGGCAATGTGAAGCAAGCTCCTGCTCTGGTAATACAGGGACTGGACGGCCCTTTCATACAGGGACTGGACGGCCCTTAGCAAAGAGCCCCTGACCTCGTACTCCCGGAGCACCCCCCACAGGGCGCCGCGAGGGACATGATCGAATGCCTTCTCCAGATCCATGAAACACATGTGGACTGGTTGGGCAAACTCCCATGAACCCTCCACCACCCTGAAGAGGGTATAGAGCTGTTTGTAACATATTGGCCAAATAAAGGTGATTAGTATTATTAAATTGTAGGCAGGTGCAGTAGTAGTAAAAGTAGTGGTTGTAGTACTACTACTATAATTAATAGTAAAGTATTGCTACACAGCAATAAAAGATGCCTATCGCTTTGTCTCCAGCACAGCCCTCCAACTCTTTGATCTGATCTGTATGGTCCACCTTATTCCAACCTACAGGCAGAAACTTAAAGCTGTGAAGCCTGTGGTCAAAACAGTGAAGAGCTGGACTGATGAGGCTAAGACAAAGCTACAGGGCTGCTTCTAATGCACAGACTGGAGTGTATTTGAGACTGCAGCTACAGACCTGGACAAACTCATTGACACTGTGACATCTTATATCAGCTTTTGTGAGGATGTGTGTGTGCCCAAAAAGTCCTTCTGCTGAGGAACCAGTTTTCAGCCAATGACCCCTCGTCTGTGTGAAAAGACGATGCCTGAAAAGCATCACTGGCTATGGGAAACCATACCCCCTTGCTGTAGAGGACCATCATCTGCCAGCTTTTAGGTTGATATGGCTAAGGTGTTAGCTTATTAAGGCGCCTGTCCTTAATAAGCACAGGCGCCCCCCAGGGATGTGTGCTCTCCCCTCTGCTGTTTTCACTCTACACCAATGACTGCATCTTGAAGGACCCCTCTGTCAAGCTCCTAAAGTTTGCAGATGAACAGTCATTGGTCTCATCCAAGACGGCGACAAGTCAGCCTACAGACGGGAGGTTGAGCAGCTGGTCCTGTGGTGTAGTCGCAACAACCTGGAGCTGAACACGCCCAAAACAGTGGAAATGACAGTGGACTTTAGGAAGAATAGTCAGGTCTGCAGAAAAGGTTGGTGCATGCCTGCCATCTGACCTGTGCACCTCACGGGTCAGAAGGAGGGCGGAGAGGATCACTGCAGACCCCTCACACCCTGGACATAATCTGAACTCCTCCCCTCTGGACGGCGTTACAGGTCACTGTGCGCC